CTCAACCTTCGCATCTCCTTCACGCCAAAACTTTCAATCATTCAGACCAGACAGGAAGTAATCAGATGGATGATGGGGCTGGATTTCATTAAAAGATGAATAAACGTCACTGTCAAGCTGGACTAATGCACCTTGGTGATCTGCGCTGCATCTCCTCCGTCACTCTGCCCTTCTTCAAACACCAGCCAGTACATCTTTGAAGGCTGTAATGAAATCTGGTTCAAGTTGCAGGGCAGAGCCGAGAAGCATGCAGGAGGAAAGTGCAAAATATTACAGAGCAGTGACTGGGTAAAAGAAAAGTCTAAATTTAAATGTGTCATCACAAAATTACATGCCTGCTTTTCTTTAACAAAGGGACACCTACACTATGTGTGTTCTGTGTGTTTTGGTAAGACGACTACAATTTCGACTGTACATTCAGTCAAAACTGTTAACTGAACCAGAGATCATTTTTTCACATGATTTATAGATTAAAAGTCAAATAGGAACTATACAGCGTACACTAGTGTCAAAAAAGCTCCACCCTACAAAGCCTATGGTTGATGTTGATTTGCTTTACGTCTACAGATTATTAAATGATAATATCTACAGGTTAAATTATAATATGAGACTAATGCATAGGTCATGAGGAGTATTATGATAATATGTATAGTATAATATAGTAATATGCAATATTGTGGTGGAGCTAAACCTACATAGATCCATTTTCTTGGCCACAGGGGTAGCAGCAGAACAAGCTAAAAACACAAAATATTATTTTATAAAGTGAATGTTTTTCTGGCCACTTGATGACTGTAAGCCCAATATTCACTCTCCTTTTAGCTCTGTTTCGGTGTCCACTAACTTGTGGGAAATATCTGTCTCTTTTGTTGCTAAATGCTCCACTATGTTAAACAGCTAGCCGCTAACTTTGACAGTTTGGTGCTGGGCAGTAAGTGTACAGTGGGTTTATCGAAGCTTTTTTGTTGTTGATGCTGAAAGCAGCTTTCTGTTATGGTAAGAAATTAGGTTGATGAAAGTAGTGACAGGTAACCAAAGTTGTGTGCCTTAAAAACAAAACAATGAATAGAAAGACGCTAAAAAGCTACCAGAACTGAAGGGGGTGAAGATTCTGTGTGGGTTCATTACCGAAAGTGACACCTTTCACAATGCACAATTTTTTGCCACTGTTAATATAAACATACTGATAAAAGCAGCTTTAATTTTTCCTGCCAATTTAAATGTGTGTGGGCAATGGCTTAATTCTGAAGGATTTGTGCCTAAGTGTTGTTGTTGTGGCTGCTAGTGTGATGCGAGCAAAATGTTTCCTCAGGTGATGTAACTGTTTTGCAAGATAATCCAAAAGTAGGTCTTCCTCCTTTTCTGTATATGTGTCTCTCTGATAAATATGATCCCAAAAGGTCATTTTTTAGTTTCCTCAATGGCTGTATCTTTTTTTTATGGCAGGCATAACTTGTCATTACTCATTAGTGGAGCACAGTATCCGAATAGCACACTTTAGTGGGCAGAAACATACTGACAGTGGCAGGAATGTCAGTGCAGATGGTTGGTTGAGGCTCCCTGAATCATAACTGCAGTCTGAAATGTCTTTGAGGTGCCAAATCACCATTATGCGCTGCCCTCCTTTCTCTGCTCTTAATTGTGCACCATGAAGTCTGCTGAACAGCTTGACAATTAGCTGTAAATGGGTTGACATTGCAACGCCGGGATACCCATTTTACGCTCCTATGTCAATAGAATTTGATCATTAACGTGACAGATTACATCTCTATGCCTCTAGAATAGACTGCTGCCAGCACAGTTAAATCCCTCGTGGCGGTTCAACAGGGTGCCGATTCATTGCTCACATCAAGGGTGAAATGTCTCTCCCTGCACCCTGTACTTTGTTTTATGGTGAAATTTAGTGTCAACCCATTTATACTATCTGACATGAGGTGGTTTCCTCATGTATGACAAGTAACGACACAAGTTTACCATTTGACAAAAAGTCTATTAATATTAATACCCTTGTAAATAACTATTGTTTATGGTTTAACCAGCTGTGCAAATACAAATAAAATGAGTGCAGTGGAGTTATTATGTAGTCAAAATCTTATACATATGTATGTATGTCTTTGGAAGCCATTGAATACAAAAAAACATATTTACAACTTTGGGTAAAAGATCCCACCCACAGCTTTATATTTAATGCTGATGTTTTAGACGGTTGAAAAATCCACTGTAGCTTTTGCTTTCATTTGAACTCATATCATCAATATTTCCAAAGGGAACAAGGGAAACTACACCACCAAACATCAAAAATCTTCATGTGGATTTAAACAAATCCAACATGCTTCCTTTAGAGTGGATTGTCCTTTGAAGTTATTAAATCAGCATTTTTCCGAAATTATTAAGACGTCTGCTTTCCATCTGGACCAGAAAGCAAAGCACCAATGTCTCGCCCTCTAAGCATCCCACTTTCACCCGCTCGTTCTCTCCACCCGACTGACGCACATTTACGTCAGTGTCACCTGGCCTCCATTTCTAGTCACTCATACAGGGTGGTCCAGACAGCCAGACAGCCCCGTCTCTGCAGCAGGCAGGCAGGAATGCATGAAGCCCCCTCCTGGGACCGGCTCAGTTCCAGCTCTATACTGTGTGACCCACTTATTTGACAGCAGCTCTGTTAAAACTTTCAGAAGTGATGAGTGCTTCCCTTGCTGGCCAACAAGGGCAAACATGAGAGAATGAAAAGAATGTGAGTCCACTGGCACATCGAGTAAATAGTGCGAAAAAACAAAATCTTCATTTTTTTCCAAATATTGCCAATGTTTCCAAATCTTGCAAGTCACTCATCACAATTGTTTTTACTTCACAACAGCAAGAAAATTGATTTACAGAGCCCTGAAAAAATAAGGAAATCCATCACAATAAATATTTAGTCAATTGAATTGTTATGGTAAGGCATTTTAAAGCAAGCTCTGTTATGAAAATGTCTTGGTTGGTGTCTTCGAGGGCTGTCTGACATCAAATACTTGAGTCTTAGCTTGTAGTATCTGAATGATTTTAATGTCTATCGTCAGCTGACTCTCAATATCTCCTCTTACAAACAAAAGATACAGCTCCTGCCTGCAAAAAAGAACTTTTCAGGTATTCAAATGTGTTTTTAAATGTTTTCTTTGTCTCTACCAATAGGGGGACTTATTGACTAAAATATAAACTTAATCCATAAGTTTATATCAAAATTTTAAAGTCACCAAAGTTGGAGATACATCATGTGATAATAATGTAACATGGACTCAAAAACAATGTTCCCTGTGATGGACGATCTAAAAGCAAGCACATTTCAAGTCTGTGCAAATGTGCTTAAGTAATTTAAACAACGGGTAACTGGAAAATAGTCAATGAATCTAAAAATGCACTTTGAAATGTTAGCAATAAGTAAAATATGCATAATATGCATCGTTTTGTGTGTTTGGGAAATACCATCAGACCCCTCCCCCACTCTTTCCTCATGTTTGCTGTGTTTATCTGCACTGTCACTATCCAATAAAGGCAAAACACTCTTCTGCCTTGTTGCATGCACCTGCAACCTTTAGACAAAAGCGTCAGCCAAATGAGTAACTGTAAAATAATTTTACTTTACAGCCGTCCAACCAAGCCCTGTCTTGAAAAACACCTGAAACACTCTCCCAGTTTGAAATTGGAGTATTTCAGTTTCAGGATTTCCTAGATTAATTGTGTAGCCCTACAGTGGTCTCAGTCCCACATCTCACTATAAACCCTGATCTCTAATGACAACAGGGGAAGGAAGAAGAAAAACACAAAAGACGGAGGTGATATTTAACAGAATGATGTAATGTTTCTCACCTCAGCACCATGGGACAGACTCCTTTTCCTGAGGGCCGGGGAGGGCTCGGCAGATCGTAGAGGAGTCAGACCTCCGTTCCTCAACAGCTCCCCTGAGGGCGACTTTGGTGCAGTCCACACAGGAACACCATCTGAAAAACGACAAGGCAGCGTCAGAGCCGACTGCCGGCTTTTAGTGAACAACAGTTAGGAGGAGATGCTTGGGAATCACTACTATATGATGTATACTGTTGATGTGTGTATTAATGCTTGATTTTGGGTTGGATGAAACTGATAAGACTACTCAGAGAGGGACGAGTGAGAAAACCCATAGCACGCTATGTCCTATTTATTTCTGACATTCAATATTAAGGCTGTCATAAATGGTAATGAACCAAGACTGTGTGATAGACAGAGATTAGACATCAGGAAATTGTGTGGGTGGGTGGGTGAGTATGTGTGTGCGCGCGTGTGTCTGTTGAAATTTGCCACAAACAATAAAATGTTTTGCAGAAATATGATAAATCTACATCCTGTACAGTCTGTCTCGTACTGTAACTGAGCCTTGAAACAATTTCACGGCAGTTTCTGCTGTTGTATAGGCATTTCAAAAATCAATACATAATCTGAAAGTACTCAAACTCTGCTGTCTTCACCTACAGGGGATGGACTGTCAGAGGTGATGATTCAACTGGATGGTCTTTCCCTATAACTGAATTTCAGTCAAGCGTTGTGGAAGCTACATTTGACAACCACTCCTTATTGACATGATGTTTCAGACTTTCCTTTTGACCATATTACAAATTGTTTGTGACTGATGCACCAACAAGACTAAGAGTCTACAGCCACGCTAGCGTCTCTGTGAGTCTACACAGTCGTGCATTGACCTATATTCTAAAGTCAGCATGCCAACATGCTCACAATGACGATGTTAACAAGCTATGTTAAGAAGGTATAATGTTTACCATGTTCATCATCTTGTTTTGCCATGTTAGACAACTAAGACTTGCCAGTACGCACTAAACACAAAGCCTAGCTGTGTCTGATGGGAATGCCATCAGTTTGTAGGTCATTAACCAAAGCTTTGGACAAACGTTATTACAGTTGATCCAGATCCTTGAACGTGTACCAAATTTTATGGCAATCCATCCAAAAACAACAGTGTTGGGCCGACCAACCAACTGACAGACCAGTAAATCAAAAAGTTGAATTATACAGTATAACATTAGAAAAAAGTGAGAAAATGGGAGATAATTCAATATTTTTGTATCAGGAAAATATGAATTTTATAATTGCTTTATAAAATTCTGCTGTCCAAATTTCTGGAAATAAATTTCATTATTTTTACATTTCATTTTGTCATATTGTGACATACAAATACTGTAATATTTAATATTGTCATATTAATTTTAATTATTACTCAGCACTACATCTAGCAATTACTTATCTTAAAGCAGCCTGAATTATAGGTCCATAAGTAAGGTGAAAAGTCTCCAAGTCTCTCAGACTCTTGCCAACAGGAAAACTGCATGACTTAAGAGGAACTAATGTTTACAACACTGAAAGAGTCTCCTCACTGGATTTCTGCATAACAACAATACAAACTTCAGCCTCCAAAAAAGACAAAAATTCAGTCACCGCCTCTGACAGCCTTCTAACATTGTGCTTCAACAAATCTTTTATTTTATGCAGGGCTATGGCACTGATCATATTTTATGTTTCCTGTATGAACGGACTCATCAGAAAACCTAGCTGCAAGTTTCCTCATTTAAAAGCTTCTTAAATACATCAAAGTTGTAGATCCCATTTCAAAGTACTGTTAATGGAGTGGTACCACAGGCCCTTCTCATCTCTAGTCCCAACACTCAAATTGGGTTAAAAGTCTAATGCACCAAGAGGCTGTATTTTGATCTCCATTAGTGCCAAGCAAGCTGTGCTGACACAGGTTGACAGGCTGGTGAGCCTGAGGCAAGGCTGTCTCAGCAAAATGTGTTGAAATAGCCCTCAGGCCAGGCCACTGCTTTGGTCAAATGACAGTTTTGACAAGAACCTGAAAAGTGCTATTGAGCCTCCTCCTACGATACTGGACTTACTAATATATACTATACTAATATATTGGAGACATGAACAGGGGGTGGTTTTGCCCAAAGGCAAGTGAAATGTTAATGAGTTGGCAATACAGTGAAAATTGAATTTTTGAAAAGGTTATTCTTATTTGAAAGTTAATAGTTTCATGAGACTTCATTTCGAGATTGAGCTTTAGGGGAAACATTTCTGGGAATAGTTCATGCACTTATGCTGGTAATAATGCTTTTACAGTAACTGGTTTACAAACACAAATTATGACAGATACGTCTACTTTGATACTTTCTCTGAGATGTCACAATGAAGCACCAGAAGTAGAAACACTCAGTGAGCAGGGGTGGGTAGTAAGTCACGACAAGTTAAGTAAGTAAAAATGTTGTTTAGGAACAGTAAATTTTCACATTTATTTTTACTTTTTATTCAAGTGTTTTTTTGTTGCCAGTAATCTACTTTAATTCATCTAAATTTGGCATTTATACCTTCGTTTCAACTAGTATGTTATCTACTATGCATTTTGTGACATTAATTAAGAAGTGCTTCACTTTCCAATAATGCTGTATTTAAAGCTTATTTAGCTAGATGTAGAACAAATGTAGGCTACACATTTAAGATAGATAATGACGGGATTGATTCTCATATATTAACAGAATTATTGTGCAGAGCACAGCTTTTTTTTGTGATGAAAATTAGGCTTTTAAATTATCTATTTTTGTCTAATTTTATCCAATCTACAGTGAATTCACTAAATAGAATGACACCGGTGAAAGTGATTATGGCTTTCACTCAGTAGGCTGCTAATTAAATTTTTGAGAAGCATAGGGAGAGAGAAAATATGGGTGGATTGAACCCATGACACACATATGTAGGCTATCCCTACTTCATTCAACGATGGGCTGCTCCCGTGTTATTGCCACAATAATCCTTCACATTGTAAAGATTACGTTCTTAGATGCTTTAGGAATAATCATATTACATTGGGTGGCTGAGCTATCGGTGAAGGCAAATCATATGTAGAGCCCTTCATATCAAAGCAAGTGGTTTGGTTCACTGCACATCTATATCAACAGATATAGTCATCAATAGTAGGCTAGGCAGCAAGTATGATCCTACAGATACCTTTGTGTAGATAAAAAATAAAAAGTTAAATAATTATATTAAACTGAAATAGCTAAATTAGAAATAATGAACAATGGTGTGTGCAAGACAAAAGGCATTCCCTAGAAATAACCAGTGGTCATTTATATCCTGTTGCACAGTGGTGAAATACTTATTCCAAAAAAAGACTTGACTCAGACTCTCGCCCAAAGACTTGGCTTGGACTTTCATAAAGACTTGAGATCTCTTAAAGATCTCTAACCTGCACACACTAAAATGTATGGAAACACAAAGTAAGTTGTACTTTGAGTAGTTTATTGACCAAGTACTATAACTTCAGTAGGTCTGTCAAATGATAATGTTTACTTGAGCAATGTTTTATGATAGTAATTGTACTTTTAATTGAGTTTCAGTACTCTACCCACCACTGTCAGTGAGCAGGGGGGATGTCTGGGCCATTGGATAGAGACATGCAGGTGAATCAAAAGGCTGTCGCAGATCAAACAGTGGAGAGACAAAGATTCATGCAGTAGATGTTTCCAATGGCTTTACCTTCCATTTCTGGGCTGTGACATTGATTCAGATTTTGTGATACTTTCACAACCATCTCTTAACTTCCACGTTCCTCTTGTCACTTATATTTTAAGTTTAAAATGTTCCATTTTCTGCTGTCTACGTTAAGCTGCGAAGGGGACTCGTTTGCAAGGTAAATTTCCTTTATGGATTTTAATTTCCTTAAAGGAAAATGTTCTGCGTCTGAGGGTGAAAGAGACATACTGTTGGGCTTCAAGCTCTTTATGGCAGTGACAGAGGGGAGGGGAGGGAAGGGGGATCCAAAAAAGAGCTAGAGCGAGCAGCAAAGATCCTCCGTGACATCAGCTGATGATATGCTGTCTTGTTTGTGACTGGCAGGTTCTTGGTGGGGGTTTACAAAGATCCTTCAAGTTCCTTGACTGTCTAGTCAATTACTATAGGTAACTCAAACAATCTACTCTGGTTTTGTAGTGCTAAGAGCCTGGAGGGACAAGCGTGCCAGCCAAACTCAGTCCAACCTCATGCTCGGCTCTCTACCAAAAGAGTTATCTTGCCCATGCAATGGCAAAGCTTTCCTGTGTGGGCATAACAAAACCATTCAACCAACCGACCAGCCAGCCACTCCCTTTATCAGCTACATCAAATCTGGATGCTGCTCATGCCAGTGAGCCACTACCAAACATTTTGCAATACCGACGATCCTAACAAAAATCTCCTCACTTAGGTGTGGGGGGTACATGCCGGAAGCGGGGAGCAGCTGGACCCCCACAGGACTTATCAGCCAGGCAGCGGAAGGAAAGAGGTTTGTACTTGCGGCCCAGTGGTCCCACTCCACACCACCCCCTGTCTGATGAACAGGTACAGGGAAGGGTGACTGTTGGCGCAAAGAGAAGACCAACAAACTGTGAGGACTGGCAGATTGGCTGGGATTTGGCACCCACTCAAACCCAGACCCCAAAAGACCTTCCCAAAGTCATAGATGGAGGTGAACCACAACTTCTTGGCTTAAAAACTCCACCAAAAACATGCACCTGTAGGGTTTAAAGGATGGCAGCTGTCATCAGTTTCAATTCACATCAGTTACAATGGACTCCAATGGGCACCAAGAAACTACAACAAAACCATCCATCCATTTTCCACTACTTATCCAAGTCACTTCACCTTAGCCTTGTCCTCCAGCGGTTCCTGGGGGATCCCAAGGCGCTCTCAAGCTAGATGGTATACGTCATCCTTTCAGCATCTCCTGGGTCTACCCCAGGTTCTTGCCTCAGTTGGACATGCCTGGAATACCTCCACCAAGAGGTGGCTAGGAGGCAGAATGGCTCCTTTCAATGGATGTGAATGTTTGCACTACTAATGCCATCTCTAAAGGTGTGTTCAAACAGAAAGAGTGTACATTTTAGAGGTTGCATGAACGCATGCAAAGTCAAAGTAAAGACCATACATTTCCCGGTTATCGGTCTGTGGTCATACTTGCACTAGATGAAAGTTTTTGAGATGTTCATTTACTTTGGTATGTTAGTCCAGATGAGCCAACCCTCCCAAGATATAACAAAATGTATGTTTACAGTGCAGTAAAATAATGTATTACAGGAGTATGCGCCACATCATGTAGCACTTCATTTCTTGATATTGGTGTTGTATGATGAATTGACAATACCATATGGTTTCACTGAATAATTAATTAAATATAATGTCTTAATATACCTATCTAAAGAAACCTTATTTCTTGACTGGCTACTCTCAGCTGCCTCTGATGACGACATCTTTTGTCAGGGAGCAGGAGGGAGCGGTGAGTGAGCAATTTGTTGCAATACACAACTCTCACCAATAGATGTCACTAAAACTTCCTTAACCTTTAATGGACCTAAGGTGAGATTGTTCTGTCGAAAGCAGAGAAGTGGGCTATGCTGCAGGAAATTTCTATAGGCAAAATGCACATTAAAGCACATTTCTGCTTTAACTTATGGGTGGCCATTGGTGTCCATTGTAACTGCTGTGAATCCAAACTGACATGTGCCATCTTCCACAAAAGGAGCAAGCTACAAATTTTCAGAACAAGTCTACAGGCAGTGAGTTTTTGGTACTCAATAGATTTTCACTGGAGTATTACTTTAAGTCAGATCGATTCCTCTTTCGTGCAAGAAACATGTATGGGGCTGTTGTTCGATAGCGACTTGGGAGACTGTAAATGGATTACAATCTTCTGTTCTTGGGAAAATGGGATTAGTCCACAAAGTATGATGGATTTCACATTTTCTTAACAGAGTCTATTGTCCTGAATTTGGACTCTACCTTCCACCTTTAGGCACTGTCTCCGTAATCCTAATGATTCGTGTTGTGCCAATAGAACCACCCTCAGGCTGCAAATGGTTTAAAATCGAAACAGCTTTATTGGATCCATAGTGATCTGGCACAGAGAGGGTTAAACATGGCAGAGGTTTGACATTTTAGGCACCAGTGTGGATTCCTTTGGCAAAGACTTAATCCTTTGAGGAGATTTAAAGTGCATAGTATTAGTCAGTATATTTAGGTTTAGCCATTCACACATAAACCCTGAATTTTTCTGACATGCATGCTGGGAGACAGTCTGAAATGCTTTCAGGGATTCTGTAAACAAGATTGACAATAAATTCACACTTTACATTACATACTTGGCACTACCACGATTAGCAGTGAATGCAACAGACAACACTGAAGAGACACAATAATGAATGGAAAACAACACAGAACAACACTAACAACTACAAACTATGACAAAAAAAAGCACAAATGGTACCAAATAAAACACACAATTTAACACAATAATGCAACATTCAACAACATTTACTACAAACATTGAAGTTCATGGTACCCATCAGGCAGGGACAAGAGCCACAGTCCAGCTGCCCCAGCTGGCCCTTGCCGCTTGTGTTGGGCTCAGGAGGAGGGGACTGGAAAGACAAGAGGGATGGGGGAGACAGACGGGTCGGGGGCTCCAGTAACTGCACTGGAACGGGGCCCGGAGCAGACTCACCAGAGGGGGCTCCGTGGGCAGAGTAGTTGCGCTCGGAGGCCTGGGACTGAGTCGGTGCCTGGCTATGGCTCTGGGTCTTTTGGAGGATGTTTAGGCACTCTCCCAGGCAGCTGAGTGTGGCAGCCGACGTGGCTTTGAGCAACAGCAGGTCCTGGTCCAAACAGGAGAGAGGGCCTTTGGTGGGTAGAGAGTCAATGGACTGAACCAAGTTCTTCTGTTGGCCCTCTGCTTGGGACATCACCTGGAGGACAACAGTGACGTACAGCGTTAAAATACATTGTCAACTGTCAAAATACATAATTAACGGTCACTTTACTCGAAATAACAGTGAGCCACTGATGTAAAGAGATGGATCTGATTTTTCCACATAATAGGGCATCAGTTACTTAAGTAGAGGCAATGAGTCCTGTAACTGCATCTGTCAGCCAGCCTTACCATACAATATTTTAAGCCACAATGCAACATTAAAAACAACCCGGATGGCTAGGAAATATCCCAGTCAATAATTTACAGTAAATCATTTAATGTAAAATAAACTACTCCCAATGTACATAGGTAGGAAAAAACCTTGGATACATACACCCTTTTAGTCTTTGTATGTCTAGTTTTAATTAACAACTTTAAGGAGCAAGAACTTCAATGGGTAATTACATGTATTTGCCTTTAAAGAATAAGATAATAATTTTGTGAAAAGACCAAAACAAACAATGATATAGCATATTCCTCTGTGCCAAAGACCTTCATTGTTGTCCAGAAACTATTAAAAACAAATCAGTGAGCCACACAGTTGTATTTGGTGACATGTTCCTTCACTGCGATGAACATGGGCACTGTAATTAGTCAATTCCGTGTCATTAATACTCAATATTGCACCAAACGTGTATTAATGTGCAGCTGAAAATAGTTGCACCATTACTCCTCTTTCAGTAAGGCTTGTTAGCTAGTGCACATCTGTTTTCGGGAAATCATTTGGCCTTTTTATATAATGACACTGTAGATCTGTGGCCCATTTTTAAATATTTATGTCTTCAGTAGGAACTGATGTGCTTGGGGCTGGTGCCACAGATGGATTTATAGTTGATTTTGGTATTTTCATGGGATTTGTTGACAATAATAAAAACAAAAAAACACCAGCTCCATTCCTAAATGGCCATTTTCTGTTAACTCATGAATTGCAGCTCTAATTGGCAAGTCTGATGTTTCATTGTGAAGTGTCATCAAATCCTTAAAAAAGTTTATTTGCTTGTTAAAACAGTGAGAAGGAAACTAGTCAAATTTTCATTAATGGGGTTTTAAAGCTGGTTATTGATCATTAAGGACATCTCATTCTAAATGTAAAATGGCACACAATGTCTTTGAATGTCAGCAAATAATTTTGAAATAGTCAAACGACTAAGACAGGACAGCATTCAGAGTTTGTACTTCCTTCAACACAACCAAAATGTAGATACACACTAGAGAGACAAATGTGACACTATATCTTCCACCATCTCATATAACAAACATACATTGTTTTGCTTGTGCGTAGGAAGTGATGAAACTTCAGCATTAATTGTAGTGGTCACCTCAGTTTTAACTACAGGCAACTGATCCACGCAACCATCTGCTCAAAAACGGCAGTGCCAAAAAACAAACTGCAAAAACTCTTCAAACTGGAAAAGTTCTCCAATATGCGCCTACAGACACACAGAACATTTCCTACTGTGAATAATTTCTGTGTGACTCACCTATGAGAGTCTAAATGTGTCACAAAAGGAAGTAGACAAAGTCAGTTCTCGCTAGCGGGTAATAAGCTTCTCTTGGGGCTAATGAATCTGGGTTGTTTATCAGCTTGGAAATGTTGTATTCATTAATATTATATGGCTTCACACACACTCGTCCTCCGCACACACTTCAGTAGCACATCTGTCTCCCTATATCACTACACAGAGCTATTTTGGAGTCACTGAGAGCTGTTGCTGTGGGGTTCTATGTAGCATAAACATTCATCTAAAAGAGTTTTTTTTTTAATTTTTTATAAAGGACAGAGCTTGTCCAACTATTTACTAGGGTCGGATGTTGAATTCCTCACGCAGATGGAGCTCAAATTTTTGTCGCCAATGCTTGTTATAAATAGATTCTTAGTGTTCAGCATGCTGATACCATATCATTTTCAAAGTGCCCTTCAAATGATGGTGGTTTCATTTCACACAGGCATTTAATTTTTTAGAGCTAAAAACCCTCAAGACAGATGTTTCTGTGTCCCACTGATGATGGACACAATTTTACTGCACTTTATGTTGTCATAAAGGGCTGGATATAATTATTGATTGCCTTTCTATACTACATGCTGACATTCTTCATTATATCAAGATATCATGGTTAAAAATTCTTACACCTAATTGTCATGGCTTACTAAAGTGAATGAGCAAAAAGCGCTCTTATGTGCAAATTAATCCACAACAATAAGGCTAAAGGGGTGGTAAGAGAGAAGCAATTTACTGCAGCCATTTTGGTGAAAATACGACTTTAAAATACTGAGAATATTGATGGACAGCAGAGAAGTATATTCTGTTGCACGTTTCAACAGATGTCGTGGTAACTTTTCCATCAAGAAAACTGGTCACAAATAAAATTCATTGTACAGCCTGACCAATACTGGAGTTTTGAGACAAATGAGGATATTTGAGAGTTTTAAAAGCTGACTAAATATATATCTTTGACATTTCTGTACACCAACACCTTGTTACTTACCAGCCAACATAGAACACAGATACTGACAAACTGTGATGAACAAAGACTGGCTGAGATAATCCAGCTAAGATGGGCCAGGCCATGTTACGGGTCCTTTTCAACCCCCTGATAAAGCAACATTAAGTAGTAATTAATAATAGCTTCAAAATCATTTTGATGGTACGCTTACTTGTAATAGGGAGAACGGCATCTCTGTCATTCACTTTGGTATTGCCCTATGTAGGATTGGAACCCCAGGCAGGAAACCTATGGCGAGAATGGTGTAATGCCTTAAAGCACCACACCGTCACACACCAACAAGACTCTTTAGCAAGGTATAAGAAGAAGCTAACTTAGTAAAGTTGTCGACTTGCTAGTTTTTGATCATAAAAAAATGTAAATCATAACAAACGCATGTGTACATCTGTCCTTATTTACAACAGCAGTGAATTAATGTTACACTCTGAAACAGTAGGGGTGCCAAATCGCAAAAAACACCAAATCTTACATCATGCTGTTTTAAGTCTACAGGATGAGTGTTTCATTCTAATAGATAGATACAGATTTATAAGTACATATAGTCACATATTGATATTGAAGTTATTGGATAATTGTAGCAAAGCTGCACAACTGTCAATATCACACATTTCTGTACATTACGTGTTCTGCAACAGGAAAATAAAAATAATAATTTTATTTATATAGCCCTTATCAAACAAAAGTACAAAGTGTGTCACAAAAGTACAGGTAGTGATCTAGAAAAAGGATAACTGCATCTGTAGTGCACTAGTAAAACCAGAAATCAGAGCTGCCTCAGGGTCTACACTCACTGAAGAAGCCTTCAGCGACACAGGCCATTTGCTGAATGTCATCCCCTCTCTCTCCCCTGCCTTTCCTGTCTCTCTTTACAGTCACTGTCAAATACAGCAGAAACTGCAAAATAAATGTGTTGCTGTGCAACCATAAGTAACGCTAAAAAAACTCTATACAGGGTTCACAAATAACACAGCTCACCAGGTTTTATGATGCTCACTAAATTTGTAGCCACCTTTGTAGTTACACAAACATGGGAAAACGCCTGTGTCGGAAAGGATTATTGCACTTGCGCCAATAGAGACAAAAATATGAGACAAAGAAAACAAGAGAGAGAAATTGGTAATTTAAAGCAAAAAAGGTCACAAACTGGTAAAGGTATCATCTCTCAGAATACCTGACTGAAGGACACACACACCCATACACACAGCCTTTTTTAAAGGGTCCTTATTGTGCAACTGTCAGCAAGTGAACATCATAAATACAACCTGACCTCAAGTGGTCACCAATAATGTACCAGAGCCTCCTTCAAGTAGCATTCAGATAGACTCACATACTTAGAGACACTGAAAGACACTCAGACACATAATAAATATGAGTGTGTCATATAAAGAAACTAGTCTCTTCCTTTTATTCCATCATAAAAAAGCTCATAAATGTAACTAAGAGGATAGATAGATAGATATTATACTCTCGACAAAAACTATGCTTGTGAATTTTTAAATAATGTTGCTCTCAGTATTTGGTTTATAAGCAGATTACACTGTTAGACTTGAATATAAAAAGGAGCATAAAATTACAGCAGACCTCTGCTACAAAGCTAAGTCATTGGGTTTACAGTAATGGCAGCTCCTCCCACCACACACACACACACACACACACGCACAAGCCAACAGGACCAGAGATGCTTCCAGAAATAGCCTAACCCCAGTGATCCAGCTCTCCTGCAGCAGTGTAAGTACCCAGTGTTGCTGCACTGAGAGTCGAGGCGTTTGATGAGTTCACATCAGCCGTGACAAGCTGGCTGAGGAGAGACGGTAATGTGGTCTGACTTCCGCCGTCACACATTCAGAGGAAAGACACATGCATGCATGGATGGACAGATGGATGGGAGGTGACAGGCATGACAATGGCCTGAACATTCAGCCCAAGACCACACCAACATATTGGTAATTACTTTAATGCTACCTTTCAGAGATATTAGAGTAAGATGCTACATATTTTTTTGAAAATGTAAGAACCTGAAATGTATCATAGTAATGTGTAAAACATAGATGGCTCTTATCTCCAAAAATGCTTTAGAAAACACACCTCAAGGCTATGCTTGAAATAAAATTCCATGGTTTACCACAATATGAAAACAACACGCCCCCCCCCCAACAAACTGGGAACATGGAGTTTAATAGACATGGACATTTACTTGACTCTTTTGAGCCAGGTGAGTAGTGTACACTTTAATCCTATTACACAACAATAATCATGCATTGGTAGAACTCCATCTCTGTGCTGCTGTTCTCCCACTGTATCTTTGTGCCTCCTGCCTGGTGTTAGGATGGTTCAGTGAGTGCTGGCAAAAAAGGAATCAACAGGGCAGAGCTAAAAAGCCAGATCATGTGGAGATTCATCGAGGTGCAAAGACCACTTTCTCTCCATGACTGTTTGAAAAAGAAAGTTGTATGCATCTGTAGCTGGGTTGGGGAATGTCTTATGGGAAGTAACAGTATGGTGTTTATGAATATTATCAGCGACAGTGACCAGAAATATAGGATGTACAACACAACATCCCTTCTACCATAAATCCACTGATAATCAGTACACAGCAGCTTTTAGGTCTCTCCTGCGTACAGTGGTGCATAAATCACAGTGCAAGCGCACACTCCTTTACCGCCGACCCCAGCTTCCCCCGCTCCCGTGCCAAACCCGTCAGACAAGTTTATGGGCCTGTAATGAATAAAGGAAGGAGAACAACAAATGACATGAGGAGGGAGGGAAGGCGGTTGGAGGCTGAGAAGGAATAGTCTTGACGGGAGAAGCTAAATGACGGCAGATATATGAATCAGGTCACAGGAAGCAGCAACCCTATTCTTCAGGACCAAAAGAGTGTGAAGCCGGACTGAAAATGAATCACACATCACAGAGGGCCTTGTTTTCTCCGTCTGTAGAGAAAACACTAGCACCAAAGGAGTGTTTGTTTTGCCTAACGATCACACCATCTGGTATTTACTCAAACTGTCCCAGGATCACTTGAGGAGACAGACTCTGATCCTGAGAGGTGAGAAATTATCCTCCACTCACACTGATCGCTAGTTGCTCTCTTTCTGTCACACAGTGAATAACTTAGAAGAGATATTCTTAGCGAGACGAGGCAGACACACAGCGAGCTGCGTCTGCATGGGGGAATTTAACAACTTGAAGCCAACCTGGTCTTCAATGAACAACAAAGCATGAAAGAAAGATCTTTGCATGAAATACTGATGCTCCTCCAACAGTGTCATCAGAGTGACAAGCCGAGGAACCAGATGAACTGTCGAGGTAAACGCAAAGTTTTTAATACCCAGTTTAGATAATAGTTCTACAGTCTACTCCCTCCTGTGTTAGTTTTAGGAGAAGAGACACGACAATTCAAGGTGCTCAGATCCTACTGTGAGGTTTCAATTACATGACGGGTTATTAGGCAAGCAGCGTTTTTTTTCCTATGGCGTATTAGAAAGCCATATTTGGCAGACACCAAACTAAGCTGCTTTGTTCCACTTTAAGAAAGGCAATACATGAGAGAAAGGCCTTTGTTATTCTGGAGCAAGGATCAGATAGCTACCGGTGAAGGATTGTCTTCTAATCCCTGTAACCTTCAAATGGGCAACAAGGTCAAACAGTGAGCTCAGGGTGTCTCTGAACAATAACTAACTAGACAAAAACAAAAATACATACATACATACAGTATGGGTAATTAGTGCTCAAACAATTAGTCAATAAACAAAAAATGTGTTTATCCAAATTCACTGATTCTAGCTTCTCAAATGTGAGGATTTTTTTGTCCATTTTAAATCACTATAATTCAGATATCTATCCATTCTGAATGTTGGGCCGACAAAACAAGCAACCTGTGTTTTGTTTTTGTTTTTTTACTTTTGTAGCGCTATGGATATGTTTATTTATGAGTAGGTCACTGTTTTGTTTGTGTAATGCGTGCACACATGGGTGACTTGATGCACATTCCTGCCAATGATTTCCACTGATGTACAGAGGTGCCAATGAACACAGCAATGTACAAACAATGGAAGACAGACTGCAAGCTAGTAAATATAGATGCAAACAATCACGATGCTGGCTCAAATTGTGATGTTTGTCAGCCATCGCCGACGGATGACCCAACCCTACCACATACACACACACACACACACACACACACACACACACACACACACACACAAGCTAGTTGCTAACTTTATCTGTCTGCTGTTTGAGCAAAGTTGTGTACAGATTATCAGAGCTTTTTTGCTGAAAACAGCTGCCTGCTGATGAGAGACTGAATCAGTAATGTTACATGCCATAAAACCAAAACATTGAGCTGAAAGATGCTGAAACACTCCATAGAGCTCAAGGGAGCTGCAGAGTCAAGTGATAAGTCTTAGTGTGATTGTCACTACAAGCAACAACTTTCACTTACACATTGTTATTTGATCCACCATAAAAACCCCAAAATATTGATTATAGCAGCTCTGAATAGAAATGTAACTTTAATGTGAAATCAAATTTCCTTTCAAACTTTATCCTTCTGGTCTGAATGAGTAACTAAAGGCACTGATATTTGGCATAATAAAGGGCATACAATTTATATGCAATTTAGGTTTTTGCAGTTGAGCAGCCTACACCTGAACAGCTCAAGGACAAAAACAAGTCAGAAAGTATTATGCGGGGATCAAACAACATTTTCCATGACATAACCTCTTCCCTGTCGGCTTCTATTTTTCTCCTCTGTACCAACACTTTATATGGGCAGACGTGTTTTACATTTAGAAAGCCTCTTGTCTCTCCTTGTCCATGTTTCTTCCTCCTTTCAAACTGCTAAGTCATCTTATCTCCATAATTCAGCGGATGTACAGCGGATGTACTCAGATGCACAGCTGTCTGGAAATGGTCCGAAAAGCATCATTTCACATCACATCTTCATTTCTAAACAAAAGGGTGAAAGCAAAAATGCTGCAGCTAATTGCTGTATAGTTTCCCAGCCAGGCATACAATCATGTCTTCATCATGTCTTTATGATTTCCGCTCCGCAAAAACCCAACATCAGGCCTAATCTCTTGCAATTAATCACTATAAACCAAATGCAGACAGTCTATTAAGAAGAGACAGGGGGAAATAAAACTCTCTTGAAAGATAAGCAGAGAAGTGAATGACTGAGCTGAGTGAACGGAGATGTAACAGATGAGGGCAGAGTGGTAACTAAAACTGACAGGCCTGGTGACTGTGGCGGAGAGAATTAATTAATGAAGATTTGAACTTCAAACTAAATCAAAAACTGATTGGAAATTTCAAGTGGATGGATTTGTAATTAACTCAGTATCAAAAACTATAAAAATGTACACATTCATGGATTAGCAGAAAAATGCAGTCAGGAATATTAAATGTTCTATATGGACAAGCATTGCTGTCACTTTTCCCAGTTCATCATCTTCTCTATTTATCTTCCATGCACACACCGACACTTTTACATCTCACATGTTGATTACAGCACACACTCACCAGACTGACCCTGATTCAACAACATATGCTCCACCAGCACTTCACTTTCTCACCTTCCATGTTAATCAGTATTGATATATTCCACATAAATGCCCACAAAGCTGAACTTACAGTAAAGGCTGAGCACACCGCAGTTAGTGTTGAGCCTGCCAGCAAGCCAGAAATATCTGCTGAACTCACTGCACCAGTGTCCCACCTGAGACCAGTGTAGAGGCTCTGAAGACAAAGGCCACGGAAAATGCAGAGCTTTTAGAGTTTGGTCCAAATGATCAGAAAGGACTAACTTTCTTGAAGGACTTTATCCAAGGTTAAAGTCTTTTCTGTTTAAAAGCAAGACTTTTTAAAATTCTAACATTTGAAAGATCTTTTTTTAAAAATAAATTCACTTTATTACAACTTAGGTCTTATTATTACTAAAATGAATGATGTACAAAATAACGCCAAGGTAACTGCTGAGATCTACAAAGGCAGCAACATTCAGAAAGCTAACAATTATTCAGGTAGTGACTGAACCCACAGGTTAGCCAAACTTATTTTTAAAAAAGCTGAATAGTAAAAGTAACCAAGCATGAGAGACTCAAAGGATCACTACGACCTGCAAAAAAAGGGTGACATGACAGCCAAAGGTGTCAGTAAGATGCTTGTCTATTTGTAAGAAGTAATTCAGAGAAGAAGAAGTGCATAAGATACCGGTCCTTGAGAAATGAATCAAGCATCAGCTTCCTTATCAACATGCTGAATACTTATATTATTTCACCTTATTTAGTTTGGACAAATAAATCAAACTATGAGAATAAGACCCAAGTTGCAATAAAACAGATTTATACTTTTTACGTTGCCTTGGCAAATCTCTGCTTGCTTGCTTTGTTTTTGTGCAACCTCTTGTAAAAGGCAAAAGCAAGTCACAAGGCCACAGGAAAAGTTTTGTTATGCCTTTGACACCCACCTCTTTGACCTCCAGCAGCCGTCCCGGGTACTGACTCCTGGCCCGCCGAGCTGCAGCCGGAGATTTGTGGTGGGTGATGGTGACGATGTTGCTAGGTGAGGCCGTGTGGCTCAGGTGCCTCTGAGAACCCGGGGATGAAGATGGGGTAAGGTGGGGAAGGAGGGAGAAGCTACGGGTCCGACCAGAGGATGAGGAGCCCTGGGGGAAGCAGGGGATGACACAGACAGGGAGAGAGAGAGAGAGAGAGAGAGATAGAGAGAGAGACAGAGTGAGATTTGGGTGGAAATTTAAGTGTGGAAGGAGCATGATAATGTAAAGGAAGAGAAACAACGAGAGTATAACGAATGCCAGGGATCTATTCCGCAAATCAAATGAACGTTTGCTACAAAAAGGTTCAGGATTAGATTTGTACAGAAAATAGACTTATGTTTATGGGGTTCTTTGCCTGCTAATAGAGAACAGCAATGTGCATATGCAATCTGCGGTAATTCAGTTTTAGCCAACACAAATTGGTAGCACTCTTTTTTTAGCAATACGTCTCTTGCACTTTAACTGTCTACGTTTCTTTAGTATTACTGAAATTAAGACAAGATTCACTGCTAACTTAACTTTCAAGCTCACTGTAATGTTAAAGCAATTTAAATAAAGTTGGGTCACCGTGCATCATATGGTCAATACTGTAATGTCAAAAGACCACCATCAGTATCTCTTCTCTCTCAGATTTTTTCTTCTTAAGTAGACAGTACAGTAAATTAACACTGCCGTAAGATAAGTAAAGCTGAATGCTATTCGGTTTTTCGCTGTTTAAGCTTGAAGTTACAAACAACTTGTAGACTATAATGTTGTTTAAACAAAGAACTGGCTATTAACTATTATCTATTAGTCAGAGGTTGACAAAACCCAGCTAATAAATGTGGCTCAGTTTTAGCCTAGAAGCATTTTCTTTCTATCTGTGACAAAGTTCCTGTACTTTGTAAATGAGACCACCTATTTAACCATTTCACTCCAAACGACAAAATCTCATTTGGCAGTAACACAATAGAAATATGCCATCTCTTTCTGTCAATCCTACACCAACATTAATTTTGCACAGCAGGACAGTCATTTAAAGAACTGTGGGGAAAAAAGCACCAAATCTTCATGTTGGAGTAGCTGCAACACTATTTTATTGTTTCTATATTTGCATATAATTAATGTACTAATATCAATTTATCTGTCTGCATACACCTGTCAAATGCTCTTTTGCTTTTAACGTGTTCTGGATTACTAAATTCATTATCATTATTATTATTAGTAGTAAAAGGTTTCATCTAGAAGAGCGCAGGGAGAGGTAAAGGCATTTTTGTCTCTGAAACAAAGAAACTTGCATAATCTCTGAAAGTGTCGTAGCGTCCATAACATGTAAATGAACAGAGATAAAACCAAATTTCCACCCCCAAGTTAACCTAGTACTCAAAAACATTTCACCTGATAAACGCAACTGATTTTGAGAGACTATGTGTTTTTTAAAAAGGTAGTCATCTCTTTTGTTGTTTTGTTTTGTAGTTCTCCACACGGAAGCTCAAGTCACATTGCATTCTTCATTTTGATGCTTCCTTCGCTTCCCCTCTGTGACTCTTGTCTCTTCAGTTCACTGACCTCTGTGCTCACATGGGCAGCAATGTCAGAACAGTATCTCTCTCTTCTGTCTTTCCTCTCCATTACTGTAGTTTACAGCAGCGCAGGGAGAGACCAGGCATCAGAGATTTATCCCTCAGAAGAGCACAGAGGTCTGGTCACTGCAGCGATGAAAATAAAATAGATCAAATAACCAGCATCCGCCCCAGAACACTGCTCACTGAGAGGGAAACTAACAGCCGTCGCTTTGCAGTAACACAGGAAATCAAGCCAAACGTTATATATTACGAGATAAATGCTTGTTATTCTGCTTCTTTGCATAGTTTTAGAGGATAAAACTGCATGCATTTGACACAAAGAAATCACATTAAAATGACTAAGAACATTTTACTTGTGATTAGATGCATCCAAACACTAAATAGAGGGAGTTTCAGTATAGTAGGTAGGTTCTTGTGTAATCACTTTAACAGGAAATAATCAGCTTACAGGAGAGAACGCTGCTGTATTGTGCAAGGCTAAAGACACGAGCCGTGAGTAAGCAGAAAAGGAACAGCATTTCAGAAGTGCGAACAGATAGACACATGGAGGTTTTGTGCTCCAAAAAACTGGCACAGAGCCCCAAGCATTTGAGTAAAGTGGAACGGAAAGAAGATGTCAGACCAAGAAAATTCAAAGGGGAAAAAGGAAAGGAGGGGCAGTGGTGGAAGGAAGATGCAGGAAAGTATCCTTCACAGGCGAGAGGAACATACCAAATATTCCTGAATTGGACCTTAGACTGACAAACTAAAGATCAATCAGGAACCGGGTCAATAATAAATATCACGTAGGGCAGTGTTTCCTTTCATATCTCTTTGATCAACACCATTAAAAATCTTCCTCTTATCAAGTTTTTTTCTGCCCAAAACTTAATTCTAAAAACCTGATTTTCTTAAAACAATAAAAATTAAGGAATTCTGTTTCAGGGTGTAAAAGTCCTTATGCTTGCTGCTTCACAGGTGCTCTGCTGTCACTCGACCGTGGGCGGACTTGGCCCCGTGTGAGGCAGCGTGGGTAGATGGTACAACGGTCAGCTGCTGACCTGTCCTTTTCTACACAACAATGAGCAACACTAATTACACACAATAATCTTTTTCAATAATAACCTTAGTGAGAGGATCTGGAAATAGTTTTTAAACACCTGTACACAGATACTGTTAGTATTAAGTATCTATTGATCTGTTTCAGGCCTAAAAGTAAATTATTGGAAAAGGCCTAGACCTTAAACAGCATGCAGACCTTGGTACACAAAACCTTTCATTCAAATTAAATTCTTTCAAGGTAATTTCCTGGTTTTCAAACACACCAGTAGGAAGGAGCTGGATTTTCTTTATTCAAGCAGAAAGTCCACAGTTTGATGCTTGCCCTTCATGAGTGTGTCTGTGTGTGTGTGTTTGTGTGTAGTTGCAGCTTCACAATTTGTACAGCTTGAAATTTGCCTAAGCTCTAAAACCACAAACCACTGTGACACACAAAAAAGTCTAAATAAAAGCCATATAAACTGTTAACTGGATGGGTAGAAATGAATAGTGGGGAAAAAACAAGTCTGTGATTTTTACTTCACACCAGTGGATGTTGTGTATATAATGGGGATGAGTTTAAAGTAAAAAGCAGAAGCAATTTTTCAAGGTGGGACGTAGTTCTGCAAAGGGAAATTTGGACAATAATCTAATATTTAAAAAATCCTGGCTACGGCTCTGTGTGTTGTATAGTAAATTTGTATCCCATCCTAAGCACTAACAGAAAAGCTCTAGTCATCCCGTCTAACATCTAATACCTGATGAGGGCTTCACAGGCTGTGCAGCTGCAAGAAAGACTGGTTTCCTCTTTAGTGGCTTTAACTGAAACCAGGACAACTAAAGATAGACTTTGAGAGTTGCGACTGAACAATCACCGCTGAAACAGTCTACCTGCAGGAATCAGCGGTGGTTAGACAGAGGAAACTGGCTTGTGGGAACTCCTCCAGCTGAGACCTCTGAAAGGTTTGTATCATTGTAGTGAACAAGGTCAAACTCTCCTACGGGACCTTAGAGCCTACAGAAAGCTCCAGCCAGAGAGGGTCTACTCTACTGTCAATAAAGAGATTACTGAACAAGGCGCTTCCTTACACTGCTGATGTGGTTATGTCAGTATGCGTGTCTTACAATGTAAACTGTCAATGTGGTTACACAGAGGCAGACAAATCTTGTTTTTCTTGTATACAGTGGATAACATTATTCTGACTCTACCTTTGTAGAGATTATGTACTTCTTAGTTCCACCAACTTATTAACAAAGCAGGTGCCTCACCAGTACAGAGTTATAGAAGGAAAGATATGCAAGGTACACGTGATGAAACATGGCAGCCCTAGATTTGTTAACTGAGTTTCAATGTTCACTCTTGACCTTGGAAAAAGCAGTTGACAAAACAATCTCTTCTCAAGGTCCATAATTCAGCTGTTCTGGAGTTATCAGTCAGCTAATGGAGTCGGATCAGTTGTCATGGAAATGTAGGTATTCACACTTTAAGACAGAGGCTCCCAAACGCACACCAGCACCAAGCCCAAGAACATTTGCTGCTGGGTTAAGATTCTCAGTGTTTGACCCGCTGATATCACTTCCGGTCCGCAACACTTAAAAGGTGTATCATATGCAATTGGACAGCACATTCTTGAAGGTCTTGAAGATGCACATGAGCTACAGCATAGCCCACAGTGTAGCGTCAGAGCTTATACGCCTAGCTGCTGTAGGTACGGTATAACCACTAAACACATGAGTATAAATCATGCTTAAGTTTTGATTTAGTTTTGTTTTTAGTCTCTCCCACTCACTCTCTCGTTGTCTTTTTTCTCTATCTGTGTTTCTATCATTTTAAAAAGTCCCCAAAAAGTATTTAATGCTTGCCTGAGGTATCGGTAAAGCAAAATGCAACAGAGTGCAATAGAAACAGACTTAAATGAATAAATCACGATGTGCATGGGACTTGACACTTACACTAAATCTTCCGCTCCACTTAAGAGATAAAAAATAGCAGCGGATGAAAACCATAGATCTGTGTGGAGCAATTAATACAAGAAATAAACGGAAATGTCATATATCCATCACATTTTCAACATTGTTTTCCATTGTTTCAGGTTTCACTGGAGCTTATTTAATTACATCACCATGTTGACTCTTCTTCTGCAATGGTTTAATGGCACCTGACTGGATCTCAATGAACCAACTCCTGATAGTCACACAACAGTATTGGATAGAAACCCATATTGTCTTTACATTTGGGATAGAAACTTGCCTATTTTCACATAAATAAATCTATCTGCTAACTCCATCTGCTGATGAAAATCATTTGATATGATCAACTTTTGAGGTTACAGTTTCTGATAAAATTGCACAATATTTTTTATTTTATCCACCGTCCATGTCTATCCACAGATAAAATACTGAACCATCAATGCTGAGGAGAAACTGGCATTCCAACATACTCCTACCTGATATCCATGATGTTCTTCTACCTCATCAACTTTAAAATAAAAGCCTCCCAAAGCCAAACATGATAAATGTATTTGCTGCATCTGTATCGATCAACAGTATAAAACGTGTCAGTACTCTTTTATTCAGTTTCTTATAAAGATGCATGAAAATGCCCTTTTTATTTGTAATAAATAAAGCCTGCTACACATTTTCTGCCATGGTGATCTGTCATCAGAGATGTAGCTGAGCCTCCACTGCTGGCTGCCTCATCGCCGGAGTGGCTTTGATAATGATCTGAGAGGCAGACAGTGCAGCTCAGGGAAGGATTAGACCACAACAGTGGGTACAGTAATAACAGCTGCTGCCGTGGCAATGCCCTGCAGTCACCGAACAGGAACAAAACGCCCGCTCAGCTCTGCAGGGCAGAAGTAAAAAAGAGACAGACCATTTTCCTCCTTCCACTTTTCCTTGCTTATGCAATTTTCTCTCATCTTTTGATTGCTTTTCTCATCACGGCTGAGCAGAGTAATTGGACTTTCCCCTCGCACCAGCTGTGCAGAAGTTTGAAGTGGTAAAGAGCTACATGTGGAATAAGTGAACCGGCGATGAGGCAGCATAATGAGGCTGCGGTAGTTAATTGTTTAAAAAGACACATGAAAGAAAGCAGTCCGCATGGGAAATAAAGTGAGTGTCCCTTGTCTTTTCTATTGTTTGTCGAACAAGAAGTATAGTGCATCATAGGTGGTAATGTATGTGGACTCACCAGCACCTCTTGGCCTCCACCTGCTCTTTCCACACTCAAGTGTTCATCGGAGCCCTTCAACTTCCTCACCTGAAACCAAACACATGTGTAAAAACTTGAATTAGTGAAAAACATGACTAACGCATATGCTCCTATGAAAGGCACAAAGGAAGGCACTGAATGGTTTCATGAGTATAAAAATTATGTGAATCACATGTAGAGTGCAATCTCGCTTATATGATATACTGTATGTAAATGAGATGGACGAAACATAGTAAACACCTTTTTATTTTAAGCAATATAATATAAACAAAACCATTAAGCACAACCTTAAAATTTGAGAGTGTCAAAAAACATCATATGCTTCACAAAGCAAGGATTTATAACAGGTCAGTTGAATTTAATTGTTTTAGATCTTATAGATATTCATAATAAACTGGCAACTCATGTGTTTTTCTTTCAATTGAATGCATCACAATGATAAATAGATACATGGGAGCAACATTTCACAAAACAACCACTCGCATTCTTGCAGAAGCTGTTAGCAAGTAAACATCAGACTAAACTTTACACTGCTGCAATATACACCAGTCACCAAAAGAATGTCAGAAGTTAAAAACTCAGTTTAAAACATATTACAGGCATACCGACATCAGCTTGTTTATTCATAGCTACAGGAAAAATTAACAACAAATATTTCTTCACGGCTTCCATGTACAAAATCAACTTTAATACCAAAAGTTTGCCAAAGATATAACAAAGTTTAGATTATTTCTCTCCTTCATGCACTGTTGGTTTCCACCCTGTCACAACCTGCAGTGGCGCTCTAGAAGGAGCTCTATAACAAGCATCAATCTCCACTGGATCAGGCGAATGGGGATACAGGCCTATCCCACTGAGCTACAGACAGCACACACAAATACATCGACTAATCCCGTGAAGGCCATGCAAAAAACCCTAAAACTGCACATGCTCAAATATTAATCCATGAAACCCATATTAGAAATGAGTGATTGTGTATAAAGGTAGTTACTACTACACCCAACACAGAAATCTTTCAGACAGAGATATGATGGCAGTGGAACCAGGGACAACCAGGGAACATTTAGCAACACTCATCCTCAAATAAGGAGCATGCTACCACATTTGCCTAAATCGCTTCTGTCAGTGCTTAAAATATTCTCAAATTAGACAAGCAAGAGAAGTCGCATATGACACTTTGAAGTTGGATTTTTACATTTTAAATGCATCTGTCCGCAGTTTTGTAGCATTTTGTTGTATGTTTTCTCACTTGTTGACAATTTTTTCTTTTGAAATGTGTTAAATTTTTGGTTTCCTCATTTATTTCCTATTCAACCTTTTCTCTCCACTTGTTTAACATATTTCCTGACTTTTTATTTATTTTCATACTAAATCTATTTACTCATTTCTTTTTAGTAGGGTGCTTGGTTTAGAAAGTCACAGAGGCAGATTTAATTAATTTGGAAGCATTGCTCGTTGTCTGCAGAGACATGGCATTTATTTGGGTGACATTTGTTAAGGTCTGCAACTGTGAATTTGCTTTCTCCATTTGTTGGTTCTCAGGGAGAGTGTGAAGGGGAGTCAGTAAATGAAAGAAACCTCTGAATAACACATGAAAGAAAATTATGATATGGTGTATTAAGACAAAGATCCCCCAGTTTAGTCGACTCACTGGTGCTTTCATGTTCAAATACTTAAAAAATCTTTGATCTGTTTGGTTTCATCTGAATAAAAGTTCATTCATCTACCCTAAAATACCATAGTAACTGGTAAATCCACAAACAAATGTTAGCTTTCTGAAATTTGAAATTAATGATACTTTGCAGTGCCTGTTTTTATTAAGTTGTGTTACTGCTGTTTTGCAAATTTCAACTATAAAGCTACATTTTTAAAGATTACTAGAGTACAGGAATATTGAATTATGCTAACCTAGCTAACCAATGTAATTTAGTCTAATTTTGTTAGTATAAAGTTTTGTGATTAAAGGTATTTTTTTTTTTAGCTTTGGTGAAATGTTACCTAAAATAATCTTTTAAACAGCATTTTGATCAAGTATCTGGTCAGATATGTCGGACATGTTTCGTATTAGCTCTTCTACTCTTACCTCTAAACATATTAAAGTAACAAGCTAACATATGTTTTGTCAGTTAGATCAGTTACACCTGGTACGTGGGTGTAAATATTAAATAACTTATATTTACATAAAACCTTGTTTGTGTGGAGTGTAAATCTCCAGTAAGTAAACACTCACGTTAGAACAAGGTTATGTTTGAAGATATGGAGAGCTGGTGCTAGGGGCAAGTTGCATCAGCAGGACGCTGCTGCTGCAAGACTTCATAGACAAAACTAGTCATTTAAGCAGGTCAAGAAATGACAGGAGGCTAGAATGCGCTGGAAACATCAACAAATCTTGGTGCAGCTTTAAAACTCCAGAGGAAATGTTAAATGAGTCTCATGGGAGATGATGCCATTTAATGAAATGAAAAATGCCGTTGAAAAAACATCTGTCACCTTTAGACAGAAAAGCCAGTGGACTAAAAGCAGAACAGAAAGGATAGACGGGCCAGGACTTTTCAGGACTCTACAAGGGTTTTCACCTGGTGAAAGGACCTGCTCCTGTGCACAGAATGTACCTGACCTGAGCTTACTGAAATGGGAAACTGACGCATTAATAAAACAGACACACATAAGAACGGGAATCTCAAGGGAAATGTCAAGGTTTTCTGCTCACTTCTCTTCCCGAGGAATATATACCAAGGGCTTGGACCAGGGTCATGTTCACAACTCTGTTACTGTATATATGTGTGCGCTGTACCTTGGCACTGCTGTCAGAGTGACGTCTGGCACACGCTTGGAGCTGACTGATCCAAAACTGTTGCTCCTTGGCGTCAGAGGCTGCAAAGACACAGAGAACAAAAATACATTAATAAAATTACAAGCCTCAACTTCCTTTATACACAAGACATTGAGAATCACCAATAAATCTTTACAGTAGTTCAGTCTATTGTTATAAGAAAACCATCTGCCTGAAAGTGTCTCCACATTCGCCAATTATTACATTTTCATTATTGTACATTTCACAGATGCAGATAAACTTAATTTATTAGAGCACTAAACATCAGCTGGAGCAACAAGATGTCAGTAATCACAAGATTTTAAAATGTGAGATTATTTAATAAATTGTCATGTCTCAGAAACATGGGAGGAGTTATACGGGTAATAAATGAATGGTGGATATTTAATGACAGATTTAACCATACCCAAAATGGTCAACAAACTTTTTCTAGCCAACAAAATAAGTAAATGAATAATGAATTCACCCTCTCGCAGCAGAAGTCTATTCTTTGTAGTGTAGAGAAGGCTTTGAAAGATCATTTCGACCTTAATGTATGACATTTTAATATAACAATCAAATACATACAAAATGAAAAATAACAACTGAAGCACATTTAGATACAAAATGAAAAATAACAACTGAAGCACAATTAGATACTTTCCTTTTGGGATCTGGTCTGAATATTTTAAATGGTTATGGGGTGAATTGGAGAGGGCTGCAACCAATGATTATTTTCATTGTTGATTCTTTGAACTTTTGATTTATCAATTATTTGTTAAAATTGAGTTGTTGAAAATCGCTTCCAGAGTCCAAGGTCACGTCTTTCTCTGGAAAACACTCAAAACCCCAAAGATATTCACTTTACAGTGATATCAGACAGACAAAAGCAGCAAATCCTCACATTTAACAAGCTGAAACCAGAGAATAACAGGCATTTTTGCTTGATAAATAACCGATTGGTTGATTTATTGACTAAAGCTCCAGATTCACAAGCTCAGTATTTCTAAAGGTCCTAGTTACAGCCTTGGGGTCTGGACAAAATAGCTCAAGTACTGGTAGCTGTAAATACACAATTCATATCTGTTGAACCTTATGTAAATAATTTTTGCTCCACCATCAAAAGATCAGGTTCAACCAGTGTGAACTGACATGGAGAAGTGTTTTTACCCCAAACATGTTTTACTGAGAAGAAAAGTGGTGTGATAGGAAGTAGAGCCATTTCCAATTAAATGCAGATTGTTGAGTGCATAAAATAATCAGGCGACCAGAATAACCATTACTAAACAGGCTTTAAGGTAGACTGAATGAGTGAAGTGTCCTTGATTTAACTAGTGACTGCCTTAAGCTGAAATGTAAAGAAAACTGCAGAGGACAACCTGCTAGTGATTGCATCATTTGATCCCGTCACCTTCTGAATGATGTCCTGAGGGCTGGTGTCACATTTGAACCTCTTAATTTTTTTCTTCTATGCTAAATTGAACATTCAGTATTCGAGAAACAGCAGCAATTCATTTGGCCAATTTGAGAGCAGCACAGGAAGCAGCTTGATGCTCCCTGCATGCTTGTGGTTTTCCCCTTGGCAGAGACACAATACACCCTGTGATCCAAACACAAATAGCCAGTTGAAGCGGAGACTTGCTGACTAACACAGCAAGCTGCAGCCGTTCTAGTTGAAGGAGACGCTGACTGGAGGAATGCTTGTGCTGACCTGCTCCAGGTCAGACTGGAAAATAATATCCTTCTGATCCCATTTCACTGACTAATTATTAGAGAACAATGTCTGATGGGTCTGATAACGTTGAGTTTAGGCTGTTGGTCAATACCAGGTGGAGCACCAAGAGAAGAAAAGAGTAACAAAAGATTTAAAGATGGCAGATGATTCCAGCTGATTTCAGAGTATTTTGAAAATTACCCATGTATTTTTATTAACCAATAATTAACCATAGTTAGTAGTGATTTGGTTTACATGCACAATTTTACTTTAGCTTTCACCTTCTGCTGAGCTCATATAGTTGTGTATAGATTTAAAATTTTGTCATCCGACAGGCTTTTCAGTAATGAAAAAAAAGTCAATTCAAGCTGTACAATAATTTGTGGTCCATACCCTCCACAACGAGCCTCTAGAAGACACATGGAAATTTTGACCTAATTCTGTTATGTTTGTTTTTTTCAAATAATTCCCCTAAAGAGATGCTTCAACTGATCATCTACCAATGTAGTAAAGGACAAACCTCTTTGTAACAAGGGAAATTTTTTATACATAATTTTTTACAAATTCAACATTCAAAACAATCTTTATCAATAAATATGCACGAGTAAAATTAAGTACAAGCTTTTTTTGGTCCTCAACAAAACAAACATCTTAATAAAAAAAAAAGTCCTAATTTGTGTATGATTCAAGTGAATAAAGTCAAACATTTATTGAATATTCATTGAACATTTGCTATATTGTTATTGAAAAAAATGATATTGCAATAATTATTGTTTTATTGTCCAGCCCTACTGGATTGTTCAACCACTAAGGAAGAAAAAATACAATAAAAGGTCTCAGTACGCTTAGAAGAAGTGCTTGTCAGATTGTCTTAACAGTATCTGAAACCCTCTTTCAACATCTGACAATTGTTGTAACTTTTTGAAACAGACAATCCAACAATTTCGCCTGTTTTATGCAGCAAGCACAATTCATTGAATTCTTTAATCCGTTCTTGTTAAAATGAAATTACAATTTGTTATAAAAGTATTTTCAGTATTTTCCTGGATTTTCATCCAATGAAAGCTGGAAAGTGCAGCACTGTCGCTTTTAGTGATAATGAGGATGGATAGCTTAATTAGATTAATAAGGAACCGTTACGTGTTTTTTTTGACATGCTGATGGAAGCTATTTCAACGTATGGAGAATTCAATTTGCACTCGTCAGTCACTCGCACCGCTGACATCTGCCATAGTCATGACAACACCTACAAAATGACCCCTTTAAGTGAAGAGGCAACTCTGAGAAAATGAAGCATTTATGGAAAGTCTTGACAAGTACAGCATTCGAGGCGTGCTATCCCACTGTGTACGGCTACTCGCCTCTCTGGGAAGAACAGAGTATTCACACAGAAACACCTGTGCCAAGCTGTCTTTCTGCAAAAATACAAACCTTCCCACTTATATCTTGTTGTCATCACCCACAGAAATCACTCACTCTGCAGGGGCCACTTACCCAGAGAGTGAGCAAGCGCCTAAACTAGATATTTTTCTCTGTGATGTGTACAAGCCTCGCTGTGATTATAGATAATTAGTTGCCTGTATTAAGCAGAAAAGCCTCCATGTGTGGCTATGCTAACATGCACCTGTTCATGTGGTAATGCAATAGATATGCACTACTACTACTTAACTTAGAGCAGGATGTGCTGTTCTCATTCAAGGAGAATATTATGATGTTGAAAATTTCAACGCTTTTTTGTGTCACAAGAGCTGCAGACTCTGAGATAATCAAAGCTCTATTCATTTGATGAATGCTTGAGGTTTGGCTGGAAACCAAGGGGACTAACAAAAAAAAAAAAAGGGAAGCTAGTCCATCTGCCCATTGAAAATGAGCAACAATAGACACCCGTCCAGCTCTGTGTGCCCTATAGAGAGAGAGAGAGAGAGAGAGAGAGAGAGAGAGAGAGAGAGAGAGAGAGAGAGAGAGAGAGAGAGATCCTACCCCAGTCAATCATAGCACCACCATCACCACCTAATTACACCCATTTTAATTACAGCATTGTGAAAGATGTTATTGGTTAAGATAATGGTAAGCCTGAGGATTAATGCTTGGACCAGCAGTTAGATTTGATTAAAGTGCTGGGAGATATTATGAGCAGGGCACTTAAAACATATATTTCAAGAAAATGGACAGGCTGACAGGGACTGAAGAGGTTAGAAGCATAGACCAGCAATTACAGGAACCAGCCTTTCCTCATCAAAATCACACAATAAAGTCTGATCCCCATAATCATTCTTAATACATTGGTAACTCTATATTGTAATGGTAAGAATGCTAAGAGATATGTTGTTGTAATTTCAAGTTGAACTTTTATTGGCTTTTAATAGCTTTTATTCACTCATGATTCAGACTGCAGCGCCTTACGTTTGTTGTGCAGATCATTTTAATCTTTTATGCAGTACAGCAAAGAGGACTTGAATGTCATATTTAAGTAGAATTAGTGTTACTTTACCGATATTTAGTTTACACAAACACAACGAGGAAGAAAGAACCTGAAATATCCATGTGTGTAACTTAAGTGTTGCTTTGCAAAAAAAAAAATGCAAGATTTATTTTTTTAACTGAATTGTAGCACCCTAAAAGAGATGTAATATAAAGACCAGGACTAAAGTCTGTGTTTCCTGTTATTCTGCCTTATGAAAAGTATGAGGCTAAAAATCCACAGTACAAATAAAAATGCTAAGATTAAAACACAATCAAAATGTAGGCCTATGCTCTGTGTTTGATCGATACCACACTTATGTCTGTACGTTGCCTTTGAATTAACAACCAGCAACTGATTAGCTTAGCTTAGCATGAAGACTGGAAGCAAAACAACTACATTTATTTAAAGGTTTTGGTAGACATATTTGTTTTACATTTTGATGAGCGAGGCTAGAAGTCTTTATGCTAATCAAGCTAACTGTATAGCATACAGACAGATCAGTGGTTTCTATTTATCCAACTCTCAAAGAGAAAGCCAAAATGTTAAAGTAAAATGATGCTATGATTCTGGCATCCTTTATGTTCCAAGCTATAAAAAAGGAAGTTAAATTTTAAACCGAACAACTGATGACTGATGTGTATGTTCTTTAACCCCCACAACTACTCAGTATATAGCTTATACTTATCAGAGACTGTGAAACATATTCATTTAAAATTTATTTAAAATCATGGTTAAAAGACAATCCAGTGTGAGAAAATACTCTAACTTATTCAAAAAACTTGAAGCGTATTTTAAGTTTTATATACTGTCATTGTTTTAAAGTATTTTATGTGTTCTTATGAAACATGCTTTGCTATATGTACAGTATTGCTGTTCCTGTTTTAGTGTATCGTCGAAAACCATACACAAAGTTTGTGACATATTTTGGCAGATTTGTAGTCAGGTGTGGTCTTGGCAAGTTTATAATAATCAACCATGATGACAGATTTCTGCATCAAAACACTGCAAACAATATATATTGTTTTAATTATGATGATGCACAGGAAAGATTGTGTCAGGGATCCTAATCAGTCAGTTTGAAAGCTGTGCTGAACACAACTTGACCCTTTCATTATCTGACTGTCTCAGTGCGACGTCGTATGATAAATAGCTTAATTTGCCATGTGCGCATTCAGACATGATTAAATTCCCGCAGATCTTCACCTTTGCTCAGCAAAACACAAGACCCTGCAGTCTCCCTCCATCCAATAATGAAATTCTAATTACACAGTCTTCCTCAGGCTACTTTACAGATGTGTTAGATATCACATGGAAGACCCCGGATGGATCAAATTAGGCATTCTTGCATTTATAGAGAAACTTCAACAGTTGTGATTAATTGTTGCATAGAAGATACCTCAAAGCCAGTGCGTACGTTTGTTTCAGAAGTGTTTTCTTCTTTTATATATGTTTATATTATCAAGCAAATCATAAATTATGAATACACCAATTTTCATGTTAGTATACAAAAACACATGAATTGTTGCATTATTATGCATTAACCTAATAATCACATATTATTTACTTTATGGATGTCAAAGTTGTTGATAAATATTATGTTAAAAATGTCTGACAAAAAATTTAACTATCATTTCCAACCTCAACAATGAATGAACAATATCAACTCAAATATTGTTTTATTTCTATCTTTACTACAAAGAGCACTGTCTTTTACTGCATTATCTTTCTTGATCAGTTCTAAGTAAGAAGTAAGACAGGGCAGCTTGTTTGTTGCTTGAGAGGCGAAATCTGGGACAAATTACTGGCTACTGCTTTTAAAGCTGAAGGCGAGTCAGACAGGAACAAAACTTTGACTCAGAGCTTCTCCCATGGGAATTCTGGTGGTTGGACAGTAAAGGGGACATGATTTAGTGAATGAGTCAATCAGAAACAATGAAAAATGGCCCCATTCACCTGTGGATATGTCGTCCATTGCCCCAAAGTTTAGCTACAGATTCTGTGTATCCAGTATCTTCTTACAGCAGTTGGCGAAACGGAAATTTCATCAAAACCCTGGTGTGAAAAGGTATCAGCATGAGAATAAAAGGTGATATTTAAAGCTTTAGACACAGACTAGTTTACAAATGACTCCCGACTGAACCTTGAAGTTACTCTTTTTCATTCCCAGGGTAGGCTTTCAGGGATTCCCATGGTAACCAATACCAGATCTGAAGCGTACCGGCTAATCTTAATCACAGACTGTTGAGGAGGTACATGTGATACATGAGGCACTTTGTACCCTGCTGTTTGAGCGCACTGAAGTTTTTGAGTACAAATGCTGCTATTCATCTGCAATTATTTTCAGACTATCAGATTTTTTGTTGTTGGGGCTTGTTTGGCTGAGCTGCATCAAAAGATTCATTTTCATTTTCTTTCTCTGACTTTCTTGATAGTTCTTGACTCTCACTGAGGCGTTGGAAATGGAAATACTTCTGCCTTTGAGCAACTCATCCCAACTTCTTCTTCACTGTTGGATCATTGTTTTCTCTTAGCTCAATACACATGGATCACTGAGTTATTCATGGAATACAGGCCAAGTTATTCTGATATCCTCCCCCTCGAGAGTGTAAGGGGGACATTCCAGCGGCTCAAGTGGAGCAACAGTAAAAAGGAGTATCTCTCACTTCGGTGGATACAGGTCACTGAAAGCAAAAGGCCTTCAAAACAGTGACCAGCTACAGGCTCTTTTGTCTGGTACTGGGTCTTAAAGTGATATTTCACTTTGGTGTAGAGTTGCTTAATGCTTTGGCTAAACATGTCTCCTGAGCTGCACTGTCTACTCAGATATACAATGGTTTTACAAAACTGTGGAGGTGCTTTTTAAATTACTTGGACAATAAGAAAAAGCAAGTAATTAATATACACTTCACTATTAGATACTTAAAGTCCTGACAAAGTAAACACTTCATAAAAGGTATTGCATTTGTATTGACGTTAAGGCTGCCATACTACTTAACTACGGACAATTTTTGGCAAAAAAATAATTTTGTTACATTGTTACATTTTGTTGCATTATCTTGGAATGAAGACACTGTTCTATTGCAAGTACTCAAGTATATTGACAATAAAGTTATACTGAACTTGATTTGATTCTCATCTGGCCTCCTCAGTAAGGAAAAGTAGCTATTGGCTGTCCCAAAAGTCGCTAAATGACATCATCACCTAATTTGCATAATTGACAATGTGCTTGTAATTGTGATGGATGCCGTAGGAGAAAGAAATAACGTCGTGGGAGAGACAAAAAGTGAGTAAAAACACCCTAAATATGTTCAGAACTATGAATTCACTTTCTTCTGTCAATTCTTGTTTTTGTTTTTTTATGTCACAATTCCAACCCTCCTCCTTTATCCGGGCTTATTTTTTTGCAGTGATTTATTTTAGAACATCAGCCAGTGGCAGCTTCCCGCATGGACGATTCATTTTCATTCTCTGGACGTGGTGGGGTGAACATTTCCCGCTCTGATTATAGCTGGAAGGAACTGTTGCACAAAGACTGGGCCGCACCTCATTAACGATACGTGCTCCAATTACACTAGAAAAAGTTGTAAGATTTGTCGCAAGTCACTTTTTTGAAAAAGAGTCACTAGAGGGGTCTGAATACTTGCTATATATAGCAACAAAGTTGCTAAGTTGGTAACACTGTACAGAATCAAAGGGGAAGAGGCTCAAGAGCGTGCAATGTATGCATGTAACAGCCAAGGGAGTTCATGGAAAATCCGACTTGGAGTCGTCACATAGGAACCGGAATACTGCCCGTAGTCAGTGGTAACAGAAAAACACGGAAAGTGGTTCATTTTTATGTGAGATTACAAACCCTTCACACACATACACACGCAATAAAAAAAGTGATTAATTTCATTATAAAAAAGTACATATAGCCCCTTTAAATGTGAAATTCAGTGCAACAATAAAAACATTATTACAGCTTTAAACATGAATTAATGAATTTTTTGGCTACTTACAGCAGTGAAATGGGCAGTAAATGCAACACTGACTTATTATCACCATATAAAGTTGATACAGTTTTTACACATCCAGCAGTTATGGGGCAACATTATCATGCAACGCAAGTTGCTAAATGTAAGTCCGATGTTCACTCTCCTTTTGTCTGTTTTTGGTCTTTACCAATTCTTGAGGAAACTATGTGCCTCTTTAGCCAAATTCACCAGCTAGTTGCTAACCTTATCTGCTGTGCTTGGTGCTGGGCAGGTAGCTTACAGTGGGTTTATCAGAGCTTAAAACAGCTGCCTGCTGTGACTAGAAACAAGTTTGATGAGAGTGGTGAGTGTGAACCAAATCAGCAAGCCGTGAAACCAAAACACTGAGCTGAAAGACGCTAATATGCTCTGTAGAGCTGAGGGAAACTTGTGGGATTGGGACTATGAGTGACGCATTTCATTTCATTTCATACAAATATTAGGTCCCTTCCACATCTAAAAATATTGATTAAAGCACCTTTAATTCTATCAAGTGCTTTCCATAACTAGCTTAACAAATTCTGGATGGAAAAAGTCCATTCATGACACCCCAGTGTGTACACGGCACTCCAAGTGACTCCAACATAAAACACACACTCCACTCAGTGTTTGTACTTTGCCATGTACGGGTAGCCAGAGGCCAGCATGAGGTCATACCTCTGAGTTTGTACAGCTCTCCATTGACAGAGTTTACAATGAACATGTGCGGAGCCTCGTCGCTCGGGGTTACCGAGGCACCAATCAGGGGCAGGGACCCACGGGGCTTCTGGCTTTTCCCTTGCTCGTTGACAAAGTAGTGCAGCTGTCCCAGCTCTGGATCTAACACAAAGTACCTGCATGGGAGGAAACAAAGACAGAGAGAGGGAAGTTAGGAAAGTAATGGGCCAGAGAAAAAGAAGGGCGAGAACGAAATAGAAAAAGCACAGTTAATGTTATCATCATTTTTGTTTTATGCTCTCATTATCACAGCTTGTTTACCGGTAAAACTTTTTTTATCTTCCTGTTGCACAAACTGTTCAGGTTGTGGGAGAGCGTAAGAAAGCGATGAGGAGGGCTATGAGTGTGAGGTGAAGCAAAAGATGGCGTACAAAAAAAAAAAAAAACAACACCCTTACATTTGTCACCTCCCATGCGACAATGCCAGCAGGATATTATTTACCACAGCTCTCTTCACGCAAGACTCGTTAAAAACACCCCACCATGCACATTAAAGCATGCTTTCGCCAATATCAAGCCAGTAGCTCGATTCTAAATTACTCAAGGTAGCAATTAGTGCGGTCATCTCTAGCAGAGCCCACAGCTCGAGGCGTGGAAATTAAACCCAGCATTTCCCCCTTTTGTGATTAACGAATAAAATTAAATCACCAAGTAATTGAATCTCTGCCTCGCTCATCGGTGGCTAGAAGATTCAAAGACACATAACCCAAGAAACAGAGAAACAGACACATTTCCCCATGGCCAGAAAGTATTATTTATGACATTAAAGAAACTGGCCTGTCTGCTCTACTTAACGCTTTGTTCTGGTTCTGTAGTTCAAAACAGGCCAGAGTGGCACTTGGTGGATTTGGCTGACCTTTCCATGTTTGTGTACAGTGGTCTGAGGTAACAGCAGTTGTCTTTGTCTTGTCTTGTGGTTCAGCACGGCCCCATATCGCCCTCTTTTCCCTGAGATTCCCCGTGTTCACGATCAATGTTTTCTTTTCACCCCAAGCTGCAGTATTGATCACTGCCTAGCAGCATCGCTCTCAGCGCAGACACAGCTGGTGCTTCTTCCCATTGCCACATCATGACAATCGAAGAGATCGCAAGGTGTCAAATGTCCACTCCAGTGTCTTACAGGTGTTGTTTTTTAATAAGTGTCTCACAGGCAGGACAGCAAAAGTTCACTTCAATCTGACTTCTTGCTGCAATTTCACACATTGCCACTGACTTCTTTTCCTCTGTAATATCATATCAACAGACAGGTTTGTATATGGCCAGACATAATTTTATTATCAATTTGTCTGACAAATATTTTCTAGAGTAATTGTAAAAATGGTGGAAAATGTCCATCACAATTTTCTAAAGCCCAAGGTTGGCTTGTTATGTCCGTCAAACAGTCTAAACCCAAAGTTCTCAGTTCATAACTTTAGACAAAGAATATTTGTAGTTTAGACTGGATTTAGGTTTGGGTTTTAAATGGTTAACAAAATAGTTGCAGATTAATACTCAGCTAATTAGTTAATTGACTAATTGTGTCAAATCTAGGGTTTGGCAATCAGTCTCAATATCAATGAATGCGCACAGAAGGATTCACAGAATTTCTCAGGATTTACAGGTGCTGGTCATAATTAGAATATCATCAAAAAGTTGATTTATTGCAGTAATTCCATTCAAAAGGTGAAATTTGTATAATGTATACATTCATTCCACACAGACTGATATATTTCAAGTGTTCATTCCTTTTAATTTTGATGATTATAACTGACAACTAATGAAAACCCCCAAATCAGTATCTCAGAAAATTAGAATATTGTGAAAAAGTTCAATATTGAAGACACCTGGTGCCACACTCTAATCAGCAAATTAACTCAAAACACCTGCCAAGGCCTTAAAATGGTCTCTAAGTCTAGTTCTGTAGGCTACACAATCATGGGGAAGACTGCTGACTTGACAGCTGTCCAAAAGACGACCATTGACACCTTGCACAAGGAGGGCAAGACACAAAAGGTCATTGCTAAAGAGGCTGGCTGTTCACAGAGCTTCAAGCACATTAATAGAGAGGCAAAGGGAAGGAAAAGATGTGGTAGAAAAATCTGTACAAGTAATAGGGATAACCGCACCCTGGAGAGGATTGTGAAACAAAACCCATTCAAAAATGTGGGGGAGATTCACAAAGAGTGGACTGCAGCTGGAGTCAGTGCTTTAAGGACCACCATGCACAGACGTATGCAAGACATGGGTTTCAGCTGTTGCATTCCTTGTGTCAAGCCACTTTTGAACAAGACACAGCGTCAGAAGTGTCTCGCCTGGGCTAAAGACAAAAAGGACTGGACTGCTGCTGAGTGGTCCAAAGTTATGTTCTCTGATGAAAGTAAATGTTGCATTTCCTTTGGAAATCAAGGTCCCACAGTCTGGAGGAAGAGAGGAGAGGCACAGAATCCACATTGCTTGAAGTCCAGTGTAAAGTTTCCACAGTCAGTGATGGTTTGGGGTGCCATGTCATCTGCTGGTGTTGGTCCACTGTGTTTTCTGAGGTCCAAGGTCAATGCAGCCGTCTACCAGGAAGTTTTAGAGCACTTCATGCTTCCAGCTGCTGACCAACTTTATGGAGATGCAGATTTCATTTTCCAACAGGACTTGGCACCTGCACACAGTGCCAAAGCTACCAGTACCTGGTTTAAGGACCATGGTATCCATGTTCTTAATTGGCCAGCAAACTGGCCTGACCTTAACCCTATAGAAAATCTATGGGGTATTGTGAAGAGGAAGATGCGATACGCCAGACCCAACAATGCAGAAGAACTGAAGGCCACTATCAGAGCAACCTGGGCTCTCATAACACCTGAGCAGTGCCACAGACTGATCGACTCCATGCCACGCCGCATTGCTGCAGTAATTCAGGCAAAAGGGGCCCCAACTAAGTATTGAGTGCTGTACATGCTCATACTTTTCAGTTAGACAACATTTCTAAAAATCCTTTTTTGTATTGGTCTTAAGTAATATTCTAATTTTCAGGGGATACTGAATTTGGGATTTTCATTAGTTGTCAGTTTTAATCATCACAATTAAATGAAAAGCATTTGAAATGTATCAGTCTGTGTGTAATGAATGAATAGAATATCCAAGTTTCACATTTCGAATGGAATTAATAATAATTAAATAAATCAACTTTTGATGATATTCTAATTATATGACCAGCACCTGTATATACAAATGACTTCACAAGTAATTTTTTAATGCACACAAAAATACACATATGTATTTAAAAGTATTTGCAATTCTCATCAAAAACATTTGGATGGATTAAATTTATATACAACCACTTGTACCTCCATTAACAACCTGCTTGACATTTTTTAACTTTACTGCGTTTGTGTTTTTTTGAGACCTCCCTACCACAGCTCGATTATCAACTGGGACTTCTCTGTAGCGAATCAGATGGCTCCTAATATTTCAGCCAATCACATAAATGTAGATTCTTTTACTCTGATCATGCAGCGTTACATCAATAGACATGATACACAATATTTTAAAACAACTTCTCAACTGTGAAATGTTATTCCCCATTTCTTTGTTTTTGCATTTCCTTCATTAGAACATCCAAAAGCAGGACATAAGTCCGACATTTTATACTGTTTGAATGGTCAGAACTTGCTGCAAGCCTGCAGTATCGATCTGCAGGTCAACCATTCCATATGTAAGTGATCACTCTCCTGATGTGCGTGATTAAATATGTTTGAGTTATGAATGTTTGCTCAGTTAGTTGGCTACCAAGCTTATGAATGATCATAGGTTATAGGATTTATCAGCATTATATAGCTAACACATCAGCTAACACACTAGTGTTAACTTAAATATTAATAATATTTATGCAGTCATTTATATATAAAACCTGATTTACATAATTACATGCATTAATATTGAGACTCCATCAGTATTTCCCACAGGATTTTAAGAGACTATGGTGTGTGGGCCTTGGACCCTCACAGGGTGTCCGGGGGCTTGCCCCCCCAGAAGAAAATTTTGTACGTTAAATGCATTCAATTAAGAGGCTATCTGTGAAGAACTTTGCACTCTTGTAAACAATGTGCTCTAGTAAACAATTATCATAAACCCATTGTGTATAGCTATAAATAGTGATGAAACAGCAACAAAAGTCAACAAATTTAATGGATGTCAAAGAATAGAAAATACAGTTATTTCCCTAACATTTTAATGTTTTGGTTTTTTTTACTTTTAATGAACACATATATGTTTTATACTTTCTGTGAATATTATCCAATTAATCTTATTTCCATACTGTATAGACACCTTATTTGAAAACTGGATGTTGTCTTATGTATATCCTTGCGCTAAATTCATCAAGTCCGGCCCTATTTGATAAATTATGTTGTATGTGGTTCTTTTATGGTGTAACATGAAGACTTCACTGCCTCTCTTCAGGTCATACTGCTACGCTTTGTAAAGATAAAAGGATAAAGTCGCTAACCTGCCTGTCGCCTCACACTCGTCTGTTTCAGTGGATTTACCATAAAGGCTTTAATACGTGTTAGGGCTGAAAGATTTTGGGGGGAAAATTGTGATTTTTATGCCAGATATTGCGATTAGATTTGCGATTTTTTTTTTTTATATTCACTGCAAGTCTATTTTTGACGGAAGCCATGTCAAGCGGCACAGAGCAGATGAACCAGGCAGGAAGTCAGACACAGAACGACAGAGAATCCAGTCAATTTTAAAAATTAAACACCCTTTGCAGACTCACAATCATACATCAACAATAAACACAGTTAAAACAGACAAAACACAGTTTAACAATTTAACTACGTAGACTACTTAACCATGGTAGAAGCACAAAAATCAAGGACAACTGAACAAATAAGCAAACTCTGAACCAGTCAGCAAAATCAGACTCTGATCTGCTCTATTCTGAAATGCTCCATGTGGATATGTAGCGTGCAGAGAGCAGCGAAATGGGCTCAAAGAGAGCTGTTATCCATTGTTGAAGCTCACAAAATGACAAATTAACAACAGTTAACATGTTGGCTAAACGCTCCGCTGCTAAAAACACTTCAGTGTATGTTGACGCCGAACAAAACTGCAGCATAGTGTCTGTTCTGCTGGCGCCATTATC